TAACAGTTATATGACGTCATTAGATTGTTAAAAATGCTTCAAGTTAAAAAGTTTTCCCAAAAAGAAAAAAAAAAAAAAAAAAAAAGAGGTTCATCTTCTTCAACAAATATGCAGTTGAACCAGATGTGGTTGTTGGCAAAAAAAAAAACAGATGTAATTGCAACCGACATGATTTTGCCTTCCTTGCAACTAGATCTATGAAGCCCATCCAGTGAACTTGCAGGAACGGATCAGAAGAGGAGAGAGAAATCATTGGAGAGGTAGGGGAGAGAATCACTACTGAGAGAGGATGATGGCCCAAAAGAGAGAATGTCGCAGGCCGGTGAGAGAAGAATCAGCCGAGAGAGAGAATGTCACCAGTGAGAGGAGAATCTGGAAAGAGAAGGTCGTCGGTGATTTGGGACGAGGGAAAGTAGAGAGAAGAAGGGTAGATTCAGGAAATTTAATCCAATCCCCCCTTATCCCATGGGTTTAATGGGATTAAATTTATTTAATGAGCAACGGATTGGATAAAATGCTGGATAGTGGTTATCTCATGCAACGGAATCTCCAAACATGAGATGAGGAGGGAGAGGACAAATTTTTTGTCCAATCCTGTGCTTCATCCGGTGCTCCAAATGCACCCTAAATGAATTACGCCAATGTGTAAAAAGTGTGAAATGTGTTGAAGATGAGATATTTGGACGGTTAAGATTTAGTTATTACCGTGTAAAAGGTTTTCAAATCCAAGAATGTTTTTTGTATTGCTCCTTTTTTCAGGAAGATTATGAGTTTTCTAGAAAGGAGTTGATTGGAGATTGGATTGATGAAGGATTGATTGATGAGTGGGGGAGTAGACAAGCAGCTTATGATAGGGGCCATGCTATTTTAAATAGGCTTCAACAGAATTGCTTATTAGAGAAATGTGTTGGAAGTAGAGTTAAGATGCATTATGTTAAGAGTTAAGATGCATGATGTTGTGAGAAAAGCATTGGTCTTGGATGTGGATATATGGTAAAAGCCGCCATGAAATTAAAAAAGGTACCGAATAAGAGTGAGTGGGTAGGAGATCTTAAGAAGGTATCTCTAATGACAAATAA